ATTCGATTAGTAATTTAATGAAAAAATAATAATATTTGAGTTTCGCTTTCAGTTCTACACGCTTTTTAAAATATATTTTCTTTTATTTTTTTAAATTATGTTTTAAACGTATTTTTAAGAACAGTTAAAATGTGGAGTAGCGTATTGTTATGCTCTAAACAGTTCATGGTAAATCAGCTAAAAATTCACTTGTTTAATTATCATAACATGATTCCATTTTAAATGTATTGTTAAAACAGATAACAATAACAGTTAAATTGTGCAGTAGCATTTTATTGTACTCTAAAGAATTCATAGTAAATCAGCTAGTAATTCGCTTGTTTAATTATCATAACATCATAATATCCATAGCGATTCGATTATTATTCGATTAATAATTTCATAAAAAGAGAATAATCTTGGAGGTGTTTTAACTTCTGCTCGCTTTTTAAAATGTATCTTCCTTTTTTATTTAAATTCTATTTTAAGTGTATTTTTAAGAACAGTTAATTGTGCAGTAGTGTTTTATGAAGCTGTAAAAAATTCATGGTATATCAGCTAGAAATTCACTTGTTTAATTATCGTAACATGATTTCATTTTAAATGTATTGTTAAGAAAAGATAAGAATAACAGTTATATTGTGCAGTAGCGTTATGTTATACTGCATAGAATTCATTGTAAATCAGCTATTAAATCGCTTATTTAATTATCATAACTACAGATGTGAAGGCGGTTGTTAACGTTTTCAACCAAGCCGATAACAACGGTTGTTTTTGTCTTGAAATTGATAAAAATTGTGCAGTTGCGTTTTGTTAAGCTTTAACCTTTTGAGCGCCACGCCAAAAACGCATTACCGTGTCCTGTACGCCAAAGCGCCAAAACAAAATAGTGTTGCCAAGAGTTGATATATCGATAACGTGAAATAACTTGTTTTTGTTGGTTTTTTATGCTATAAATGACTCTTAATAAACTGTATGTTTTATTTAATCTTGTGCCGTCTTCCACTCTTTTTATATATGTACTTTGTACATATAAACATAAATAAAAAACAAACAATAGCAATAAAATAGTAGTAAACATTAGCACTACTCTCCATCCTAATGACGACACTGTCGCGACTGGACGACAACGGCGTAACTGACCTTCCCTTTTGAAACATTCTTAGAATGTTGTGTATCGATTTCAAAATCGATCTAACCGAAATATACAGACATCGATTCATAATATTTTATGTGTCGGGGAAGGCGTAGGCCAAGTGACGCACAGAAGAAAAGTCTTACACTCTTATGACAATGGGGATTTGATATGATGCTGATGCTGCTAGATGATTTTGAGACTGAGAAAGAAAATGGCACAACACAAAATGAAAAATTGCTCTTCACACCCTAAGTAAAAAAAACATTAATTGTAATTTTGTATTATTATTAAAAAGGTACATAATTATTCATTAATCAACAATTGTATATAATTATTCGCACTAGGTAAATCAGCCTTATAATACTAAAATCTTGGTCATGGAATTTACATAACTGTTCATTGGTGAACATATTTGTTCACCAATCAATCAAAAATTCAATTCATCAATCAAAAATCAAAATTCATCATCATCGACGCTTTCCAAAATCCGAATGAGTTCTGAGGAATCGTTCATGTTGCATTGCTCTACTTTTCTCGGTAATCACTTATGACGTCATCAGGGTGTCGTCTATCCTTGATCACGGTGCCCAGTGAACTGATTTTCGATGACGCGCTAAAGATGCGCTAGAGTTGAGATATTAGATTTATTATGCGAAGATAATCTGATAACATTTTTTTTATTCATGTAGCTAATTATAGTTTTATGTTTATAACCTTTAATTTTATTCAAATATCAATAATAATAGAAAAAAAAAACACCATTGAGCTGAATTTTGGATAGTTTTCAAGAAATCTATGCCTCCCGCGTTTGACACTAGCGGTCAACCATAGACGACTTTGGCGTGCTGGACATAGTATTTGCATAGATAAAAATACATTTTTATTAGTTCAATGTTTCTTAGTACTTGTGGCTCTAGAATACTTGTTTTTTATACTCACATGTTGCTGGGTTATTCCTATTTTGAGGAGTGTAGAATTAAAATACCTGTAATAATTTTCCAATATCTGTATTTCATATTTTTCGGAGCCGGGTTTTTTGTCAACTATAGACGTCGTTGGCGCTCAGGGCCCGCAGGTGTTGGTCAAGTATAGGCGACTTTGCCGCTCAAAAGGTTAAAGGATTCATGGTAAATCAGCTGGAAACTAACTTGTTTCGTTATCATAACATGATTCTATTTTAAATGTGTTGTTATAAACAGATAAGAATAACTTAACCGATCTTCTTTAAAAACAGATAAGAATAACAGTTCTTATCTGTTTTCAAAGATCGGTTAAGATTAACAGTTAAATTGTGCCGTAGCATTTGTTACTCTCTAAAGAATTCATTAGAAATCAGCTAGTAATTCGCTTGTTTAATTATCGTAACATCATAATTATTTAAAAATTATATTAGCACTGTAATGATGACACCGTAAATAATCGATCGAAAAAGAGAATCGATTTTTTAAATGTGTTTTGTGATTGGCAACACTTTTTTTTTATTCACAAACTAATGACATAATGATTTACCTAATTTTTATTATTATGTTTCCGGTACTTTTAATTTGTGCAAAAATATTTCCATTGTTTGAGGATAAATGAATACCGCGATTAATAACCATAAATAAAGATATAATTTTTTAACAAATTCACATTGTTGGGCGTTCCATGGCCGAAAATGGGCGTGACTTTATTGTAAGAAATGCATTTTAAATCAAAACTACGTTACTTTGGGTAAATTAATGCATCCACGAAGAAAACCCAAGTCTCTTTTGAAACTGTACATTAAGTATATAGTGTCACATCGTGTCCAACACATTTAAAGTAGACTTTGTTTATTTTTAGTTTATGTGTGGTATTTTCAGCCACTTCTTCGGTTTCATAATGGATTTTAAATAGAAACCTGCACTTGGTTTCTATTTAAAATCCAATCCCATTCTTTGCCAAGTGTTACAGTTGTTAATTATATCTACTTTAAATTCCGGAGACGTTACTGAACAAAATTTTAAGTACAATTTCTTTTATGACTTGAATAGTGCCTCATAACGGCTATCCGTTATTCTTAATATGAACATGGACAAACAAAGATCATGTGTAACTTCTATGTCACGCCTATACCGGTAGTTGTTGGGAGCACTAAGCTAGAAATTGTTGACGAGTACGTTTTAACTAGGCCAAATAATCCGATTAGGTAAGTCCAACTTCGACCGAGAGGTCAATCGACAGATTCAACTCGGCTGAGCTGCGTTTGGGAAATTACGACACATCTTCTCGTCAGGTATACCTCAAAACTTGAAAGCTAGATTGTACAACTAGTGCGTATTGCCAGTGATGACCTATGGATCTGAGACGTGGTCCTTAACTGCTGGCCGTATGAGGAAGCTCAAGGTCGTTCAACAAACTATAGAGAGGGCTATGCTCGGAGTTTAACTGGCTGATAAACTTAGAAATGAGTATATCCGCAGTGGAGCCAAGGTGACCGACATAGCCCAACGGATTAGTAAGCTGAAGTGGCAATGGGTCAGCCATATGGCCCGAAGAACCAACAACCGATGTGGAAAAAGGTTCTTGAGTGGCAGCCTCGTACCCACAGAAATATAAATAATAAGGCAAGGTGCTTTATTATTTAGATTTCTGTGGTCGTACCGGTAGGCGAAGTGTAGGGAGACCCACCACTGAGTGGAGTGATAACCTGGATGCAAGTGGCTCAGGACCGTGATTTGTGGCTTTTCTTGGGGAAAACCTATACCTTGGAGATAACCTCAGCAGTAGATTTATGAATGGCTGTAGTGATGATAATGATCCCGCGAAGTCTACTACTGGACGTATCCATCTCACCTAAAATTATAAATATATAAAGTAATCAAACATGGCTTTACATACCATTGATAATATTTATATTATAATTTGGTGACCACGTGGCCTAGTGTTCAAAGTGTACTGGTCTGTAGTCTTGGGTTCACATCCCACATTGTACAAAAACAAAGTAGGAATATTCCTTTCGTCGATTACAGGTCAACTAAACACGGATTTAACAAAATTCTACCCGCAAGGAGGGTTGCGAAGGCGTTAATTAAAAATATCACATTTTCAAATTATAACTCTTACAGGTATAAAACTTGGCCAGAATATTATTTTTGTATGTGTGTTTGAATGGGTCCCTAAATGGTTTGGTTTCACGAGTGGAGCCGGTAGGTGGCGCTGTTGTCGATATCCAGAAATCACACATGCGAAGCCGGGGCAGATTACTAGTAATATATATATATATATTTTTTTTTATGCATAAAAGAACAAATAAGTACATAAAAAATATAAATCTACATAGTTTTCAATAGAATTTGGAATGACAGATGTCCAGACAAAGTCCATTTGATGGTTAGTGACATTTTAATTTCGATTAAAAATCAAAATGCGGGATCCCACCTTACGAAAAAATACGCGATTATGCTGTCCTTCTCCTTCTCCGAATGGCCAAACTTACTTATGCTGCAGTAATATTAAAGGGGCCCAACAGTCCCACTATTGGGCATTGACCTTTTTACTTTTTGTTAAATAACCCTTACGAAATTCTTAGGAATAATTGTATCTTATGTACTTATAGTGGGACTTATGTGCTTGAGTTCTGTTAGTTCTTCTATTCTTCACACTTATAATAAATAAGTAAATTATGATAATGTTTTAAATGAATTGAAGCGACAGTAGCCTAATGGCAGGGCGCGGAACGCGATCTCAAAAATGTCGTGGGTTCAAATCCGCCATTCTGTTACTGGCGTGAACCACTCGTAACACAAGCAATTTAAGCTTACCACGAGTGGTTAACGGGAATATTGGTAATGTTTATAACATTGTTAATATTCTTTTTTTTTGTAAATAAAAATTAAATTAATTAAATGATTTGTTGCAGGTAGTAGAATGCAAAGAGAAGCGCACGGGCATGAAGCGTGCACTGAAAGTTTTGCACGACAACGCGAAAGCTAGGCGGGAAGTGGAGCTCCATTGGAGGGCTAGCGGGTGCATACATATCGTTGAAGTAAGCTTTTATAATGTATTATTTTAAACTGGGAAGCATTAAAATTATCATTAGTTTTATTTTATGTGGAATCAACTTACGTGACATTGCTTTTTACTTATATATGTATATATATATATATATATATATATATATATATATATATATATATGTATATAAATAGAGTTTGTCACAATCGCGCCTGGTGGTAAGTGGTGATAAAGCCCTAGATGGTATATTGCAATGTCTTAGCATATCAAAAGCCTTAAAACGTCCAATTTGAAATCGGATGGAAATTACAGAAGCTTTTTAGTTAACACAAGTTATAAGCGTGTTTTACGCCGTAAACACTTTTTCGCTGGACATGGTCTCTTCTATAGAATTTTAGAGGTGATGAGTTTTCTTGTAACCACCACTACATGGCCATTGACGTTATTATAACATATTATATATTGTTATCAGTATTAGTTTAATTATTATCCTTATCAAAAAGTTTTGAACATGTATCTAATTTACAGAGATAGTCAATATATTATGGTCATTTATATTTACAGTTAATCAGGCATCTAAAAATTATAAAGAAAAACCAAACCTTTGCGTTTTCTTCAAATATTAAATTCACAGATATACGTACTTAATAAATAAAGGACGCGAAAACTGTGTTAACTTTTTCAGTAAAAGTATACTTTTTATAAAGCAGAACCATAAGTAATTGATTTTATAAAAAAATCTAATATCTAAACAAAATATTTCACGTTTTCTTTTACTTTGAGCTATGAAAGGTTATTTTGACCCTTTCTCGTTCCTTACATAATACTTTTTGAACCGTTTCTTATTATTGTGCAATCGTAAAGAAGATCTTGTACTTACACACTAGGACCAGAAACTCGCGGAACGATTGTTGTACATGAGTAATGGTTATCGTAATTAGCGTTTGTTATGTGATAACATTTCACAACTTTCTTAGCATCTATTCCTAGAGTACCAGGTTTTTTTTAACCCTAGAAGCCCAATCATATTTTTCTAGCTATAAAGCCCATTCCTACGTCAAAATGACGTCCATAATAAAATTAAGCGTAATACAATGGGTATTTTTTGCATTTGGAAAAGTGTTGGTATTTTTCATTTTGTGCTCCAATCATTATATCCTCCTAATGGATATATCAATTTATTTTTTTATTGAATGGAAATATTTTACTACTTGTAGAATTTTTGTAGTGAAAACTTTTTAGCGGCGTTGTACACTTTTTGTAATGGGTAAAAAATGTTAAACTCGCGTCAGGACACATGACCCTGATCGAAAATTCGTAAGACGGATGGAGAGAGAGAGAGAGACAGCCGGCGCGGCGTAGGAGAGGAAGTATCCCCATCTCTTTCTACGGCGCGACGAAAATGTATGCCTGCGTCTGCTGTTTCGTTTAGGCGGCGCAGGGCGCTTGCGCGAATGTTTGTGTGTGATAATTAAAGCAATTCGTGCAAAATTATTTCCTAATCATTCCAAAATATCAAAAATGCACAACGTTAATATTCAAGTTTTCACTTCTACCGGCACTCCCGGAGTGAAAAAAAAACCCGTCGTTTTTTTTTAACCAGTTTTATTGATATTAGACAAGGGAAATAAAAACCAAAATAAAGAAATAAACTTCTTTTTTATTTAAACTTGAAATTAATAACTTTACGTAAAAACAAAAAATAACACAATAATTGAGATCTTCGTAGTTCTTACCTAATACTAAAAAGTTTACAAAAATTAACTAGTTCTTGTTTGTTTTTAATTGTAACTCATCACTTCTTAATAATAATAAAGTCGTTTTACAATATTATTCAGACTTAATAAACAGTTTAGACATACATCAACATTGTGTTCGCCGCATATTGCTTTTTGTGTTTGAAACCCTGTGTTTTTGGTCATTCGCTTTTTTTATAGGAACGCGAGCGTCGCGTCTTTGGCTCTGGCTCACCAACAGCGGTCTCTGAACATGATTTCGGGTCAATCTGAAGTATATTCGTAATATTATCATGCAAACAACGCTTCAAAGTTGACATGCAGTCGTTTTTGCATCCATGGAGAAGTTAAGTCAATGCTCAATTTTTTCATAAAATCTTTCCGACTTAGAGGTTTCTCATGGTTATTCAGCTTATTATGACAGTGAATAATAAAACAATTCGCAAATTCGTGTTTAGCATTTCATAAAACACGGCCATTGGCCACCCGTTTGTCTTCCTGATATAAGACTTAGAAGAACACATTTGATCGAAATAATCAACACCACCTTTTGTTTGGTTGTAAAATAAGATCGTATCTGGCTTTCCATTGGTTTGATTAATCACGGCATCATTATCACATCATGATAAAAGGTATACCATCTTAGATGGCTCAGGTTTATAGGATACCAGTGTCAATGGACCATCAAAACAGAACATAGAGGAACCCACCGGCCGTGAACGTGTGTTCTTCAATTCTTCTGGAATTTCCTTCTTATTTGATCTTATAGTTCCTACTAACGTCAAATTATGTGGTGTTTTTAGCAAATTTTTGCCAGTGGTACCGACATGGCTCAATTGTCGCACGTAATATTTCTGTTGGTCCTGTGCACTGTTTTTGTCAATTCTTTTACATAGAACTTTACAAGGGGCAAGCCATTTGTCTTTGTACTTTTACCAAGGTGCGGCATCTACCATGTACTTAGTAGAAGCATCACATATCATTGGGAATTTAATCCCATATTTATCCGGTTTATTTGGAATATACATTCTAAATAGGCACCTGCTGCGAAAACACAATAACTATTCATCTACAGTCATTTTGGTTCCGGGTATGTAATTCAATCTGCGTTGGTTGATAAAAATGTCCCACATTTTTCTGACAGTTATAAAAGCATCTTTTTGGCGAAGAGTTGGACTTATCATCCATTCTTAGACATCTAAGTAAATATTCAAATCTTTTTCTTTTTCCCTACTCATTACAGCCACATATCGAGTGGCAGAGAATGAAGCATTAAACAACTCATCGGCGGATAGGTGGTTGTGCTTCATAACAGCCGTCAATGTGCGTATTCCTATTAGGGCCCAAATATCCGTTTGATTAGTGTCCTTGCCGTGATTTCCTTCAAATTTTCTCGTTAGCTAATCATTTCGACATTTGTCCATCTTACTATCTCTTTGATCTCTATCTATAATAGATAACATTAAAATCGTACTACGTAGACAAAAGTTACACAAAGCTCAAGCATACGTAAATTTGATTTCGATTAGATGAAATAGTGGTACTTACCGAGTACTTACTTACCGTGTTCTGCTAGCACTTGGCGGATACTAAGTTTAACTTCAATTAAGTTGGTTTGAAAACTTTGAAATCTCACGGCGATCGGGCGATCTAAGAAAGCGTGCAAAAGAGATAGCGAATATGAGTTTGAGTGTATGTAAAAAGACGTAGATTGGGCTTCTAGGGTTAAGGTGACAAGGTTTCTGAGTCCTAAACTAAACGTGTCTGTATCTTAGGAATCAGCGGCCTCTCCCAGTTATAAACAGGTAACACTTGTGAGAACTATGCTTGTTTTTATTCTTAAAATAGAAACAAAAGAAAAGATAAACAATAACAAATTAAAAACAATAATTTAGCAACAATAAAAATTAAATTTAAATTAAAAATTTTAATATAATGAAGTACTCTTATAAGTGTTATATTTTAGGGAACGTTCCGTTGCACACAAGTTTTAAAGTTATTTTAATGTAAAACAACAAATAAGAACCCTACCTACCTAATTAAAATGTAATTAAAAATTAAAATACTTATTTTAGTGATGAACGTTAACATAAGACAGTCAAATAAAAAAATAACTTAAATTTACCCCATTGAACAAGAACCGGGTATCATAATTTTGGACCCGGTTCTTTTATCTAACAAGGAACCGGGTATACCCGTTTTTTTTTGGAACCGGGTAGAACCAGGTGCATGCTCTAATACATATCTATAAACTAACTATAACGTGGTTTAAATTAGTAAGGTACTAAGAAAATACTTCTATCACCACCACACTTTCCTCATATATCCGCGGACAATTGGACCTCACTTTAACTTTCTCTTACCTACTTGAAAAAAAAAAACAAAAAAGACAAAGCCACCAGTAAGTCGTTCATAGACAAAAGTAACAGCCTTTTTAAATATTTATAAAGTGGGATATACTATAAAAAATAATACGACGTGTGACAATAAATTATTTACTTAAGTTGTTTTTTCCACTTGTAGAGTTCTGTTCCTTTTAATAATATGTAACGTATACTTATAGTTGGTAAATACTTTAAGAGCATCTATAAACTCTAGGTCTTTGTTAAGTTAAATAAACTGATTATTTATTAGCTATTTGTTTATTTAAAATTAATTTTAAATTACGTTTAGGGACACAATTTTTTCATCCCGTAACATACACCGCCGGCACCAATGAAATTGTTAATAACCTTAAATTCTAATGTACCATATTTTTATAATGTTAAGTAATTTCCCATTGACTGTGCTCCAAAATGGGTCAAATGTATTTTTGTTTTTATTGATCTTATACCGATACAGTAATTACACTTTAATATAATTGTTACTTAAGAGATAGAATAAAAAAGAGAGTAAAGGTAAAATTAATGTCTAAAAAAGTAAAGGTTAAATAAATGTCTTTGGGTTATTCCTAACACTTTAGTCTTTCTATTGACAATGGCTTATAACAATCATTCTTATCGTATCAGGTTTTATATCGGATATCAGTAGGTCGAAAGCAGAGAAATTCGCAGCATTTACGCGTCTTTATTGTGACGGTATTATAGTACCTCCTGCGCAGTTCACGACTTATTAATAAAACCACAAGATGCTGTGTTTGCACGGAACCGAAGATAATATACATATTGTAACGCTATTTGTATTCATAGGGATATAAAGCATTGATAAGTTTTCAAGTCATATATTTAAATACAAAACATGAGACGTTCTTTGTTATTTGCCGAAGATTCCATTCCGTTAGTTTAAGAGGAAGCGATTACGTAATTTACCTATCAGTGCTAATTCTAAACTTTTTGCACACGTGTTCCTTGTTACAAAGAAACCGCACCTACAAATGTCTATACTATTTTCAACAATCTTACATTTCTCATTAAAACTTTATTTTATATACCTACAATAAAGAGAAAAGGCATGTTTGTAGATGGTACCAAGCACAGAAATAGTAACAATAAGACAATAGAAATGAATTAGCGCTCGATTACTTCCAAAACCGATGTCGCCACATCTTACCGTATTATCAACATACGCACAATGCACAATTATATCTAATGTTTCACATTACATTGCTTGGTGAGTTTGTCAACCTAGAACAAAAGCAGCAATGATAATTGTACAATACGAAAAGTGATAATGAAAGTTTAAAAATGTGTATTAGTTAAAACAATGATAATTAGTAAATTAGTGAATAATCAACTTACTGATGAAGTGGTATGCCTTTATTAGTTGAATTACACGTCCTTGATGAGTTTTTACAACTGATTATGCTGCAGTTCACGATTACATATTTATAATAACATAAATTCACGTACGACGTTCCCTGCGCAACTAAATCACAAAATGGTGAATTATGTTCGTCAACACATGATAGCGGCGACAAGGTCACGCGTCTGCGTGACTTCTATTGTCTTATTGTTACAATTTCTGTGGTACTAACAATGAACGTATTAAGGGGAAATATAACCTCAAATGGCTTAGCAAGGTTCTCCGTTATACCGAATTTTAAAATAAATATATGGTAAAGTTGAGGATTAATGTTAAGTACTATGTTAGACGAAAACATGGAAATTTTTTAGAAAAAAATCCAAAGTTACCTCCAAACTGAACAATAAACCGCTGTTATTCATAAAATACTTTAAATAAGATCATGAAACTTTGCATACTAACTATAAAGCAGGGCTTATGTTTTTTTATTTTTTTTTAAATTACCATTACATATTTTCACTGTAAAAAGAAATTACCTAAACTATCGGCGTCCTGAAGGTTTGAACCGGGCGGCAGGAAACAAGCTTCAGGACACCGCTCTAAATCTATGGCCATACGCGAGATGCACGAACTCAAATGACAATTGGTGCTATTATATATGCAGCGTGCGTCATTGTTAGAGCTGTCGGACCTTGATTTTTGTGCGTACCTATACAAAATTGTAAGACCTAGGGTACTTCACACATTTTCACTGTAATAACGTTTGTATTTTTTATATGTTATTGATCGTAATTCAATAAATTTGTTATTTTTAACTAAGTCACTTGCCTTCAGATTATAGACGTATATGACAATACATACGGAGGGAAGAGATGTCTGCTGATGGTGATGGAATGTATGGATGGCGGCGAGCTCTTCCAGAGAATACAAGACAACAGAGAAGGAGCTTTTACAGAGAGACAGGCTGCTGAGGTAAGCACATGTGTACATTTCTTAACCACTGCTATACAGAGAATACAAGACAACAGAGAAGGAGCTTTTGCAGAGAGACAGGCTGCTGAGGTAAGCGCATGTGTACGTTTCTTAACCACTGCTATACAGAGAATACAAGACAACAGAGAAGGAGCTTTTACAGAGAGACAGGCTGCTGAGGTAAGCACATGTGTACATTTCTTAACCACTGCTATACAGAGAATACAAGACAACAGAGAAGGAGCTTTTGCAGAGAGACAGGCTGCTGAGGTAAGCGCATGTGTACATTTCTTAACCACTGCTATACAGAGAATACAAGACAACAGAGAAGGAGCTTTTGCAGAGAGACAGGCTGCTGAGGTAAGCGCATGTGTACATTTCTTAACCACTGCTATACAGAGAATACAAGACAACAGAGAAGGAGCTTTTGCAGAGAGACAGGCTGCTGAGGTAAGCGCATGTGTACATTTCTTAACCACTGCTATACAGAGAATACAAGACAACAGAGAAGGAGCTTTTGCAGAGAGACAGGCTGCTGAGGTAAGCGCATGTGTACATTTCTTAACCACTGCTATACAGAGAATACAAGACAACAGAGAAGGAGCTTTTGCAGAGAGACAGGCTGCTGAGGTAAGCGCATGTGTACATTTCTTAACCACTGCTATACAGAGAATACAAGACAACAGAGAAGGAGCTTTTGCAGAGAGACAGGCTGCTGAGGTAAGCGCATGTGTACATTTCTTAACCACTGCTATACAGAGAATACAAGACAACAGAGAAGGAGCTTTTGCAGAGAGACAGGCTGCTGAGGTAAGCGCATGTGTACATTTCTTAACCACTGCTATACAGAGAATACAAGACAACAGAGAAGGAGCTTTTGCAGAGAGACAGGCTGCTGAGGTAAGCGCATGTGTACATTTCTTAACCACTGCTATACAGAGAATACAAGACAACAGAGAAGGAGCTTTTGCAGAGAGACAGGCTGCTGAGGTAAGCGCATGTGTACATTTCTTAACCACTGCTATACAGAGAATACAAGACAACAGAGAAGGAGCTTTTGCAGAGAGACAGGCTGCTGAGGTAAGCGCATGTGTACATTTCTTAACCACTGCTATACAGAGAATACAAGACAACAGAGAAGGAGCTTTTACAGAGAGACAGGCTGCTGAGGTAAGCGCATGTGTACATTTCTTAACCACTGCTATACAGAGAATACAAGACAACAGAGAAGGAGCTTTTACAGAGAGACAGGCTGCTGAGGTAAGCGCATGTGTACATTTCTTAACCACTGCTATACAGAGAATACAAGACAACAGAGAAGGAGCTTTTACAGAGAGACAGGCTGCTGAGGTAAGCGCATGTGTACATTTCTTAACCACTGCTATACAGAGAATACAAGACAACAGAGAAGGAGCTTTTGCAGAGAGACAGGCTGCTGAGGTAAGCGCATGTGTACATTTCTTAACCACTGCTATACAGAGAATGCAAGACAACAGAGAAGGAGCTTTTGCAGAGAGACAGGCTGCTGAGGTAAGCGCATGTGTACATTTCTTAACCACTGCTATACAGAGAATACAAGACAACAGAGAAGGAGCTTTTACAGAGAGACAGGCTGCTGAGGTAAGCGGATATGTACATTTCTTAACCACTGCTAAACAGAGAACACAGTCGTAAGCCACCTGCGTCCATTGACTACCCGCACGTCTTATGAGGTAATCACTGCATAATTGTAACGTTACTATTTGTAACTTTTTTTTTCAATAAGTTTTAGTCCAAGAAAAAGTTATTTTTATACATACGAGCCCATCAATGTGATATTTTTAAATAAACTTACTGACATGATGTTTAGTTGTTATTACCACATTTTTTATTAACTCGTATGTCTGTTTGGGGTCCAATTTGTTAATTGATTATAAACTAACTTTCCGATAAGCTTGACACTTGACACTTGAAATTTCGAACATAGCTCGGAATCGAATGACAATGTAAGAATATGAAAGAAAAACGTGGTACCTATATTAAAAATTTATAATTAAATAAAAATGTAATTATTTTTAAAGTTACTCTTGTTTTAGTCCGGTCTATCTAGACATTCGGTGATACATAATTACAAGCTATAGATAATCGGTAAAATTGTTCAAAATATAATTATGAATAAAATTTTGAAGTTCCCCACCATTCCTGTGTATGGAAAATTTTTTACTCAAGCTCAAAGGTCAGAAGAATGAGTCGCGATTTTCAGTAAAACGGTATGTTTTATCATAAAAATACCCGAACAATAGTTGTAGATCGTAAAATTATCTACAAAAAATGTATCATTACTTTTTCCTACGTGCTACCGTTTCTGAGATATTACGATTCAAAAAGTTGTAAACGTCACAATATGCACACGTTTCCACGCCACCTATGAGGTAGTGTATTTAGCGCGTTTTTTTTAACATGGTTTCCCCAGTAGGCCTATTCTACGAGTCAGTTATGATCTTGTTTAATTTTTAACTATTGCAAAATAATGGAAATTACCAAAGATTGAAAAAAATAAATAAAGCGATATCAATAAAAAATGTAATGAAGCTTATTTGTCCTATTCAAATTCTTCTTGTTCTTCTTATTTATCTTTTTCTGGTTCTTGTTTTATTTTATGTGTAAGTTACAACGACCGACAGAAAAATATTTTAACATATATTAAAAATCTAGAGATGTGTATACATGGCGTACCTACTCATGCATATTACGACGTTTACAACTATTACAACTTTTGAATCGTAATATCTCAGAAACGGTGGTTCGTAGGAAAAAAAGTAATGACGTGAAAGTAGTGAAGATAATTTTATGTTCTACAACTATGTATTTTGATAAAACTTCGTTTTGCTGAAAATCGTAAAAAACTAATTTTTTGACCTTTGACCTTGAGTAAAAAATTTTCCATACACAGGAGTGGTGGGAAACTTCAAAATTTTATTCATAATTATATTTTGAACAATTTTACCGATTATCAGCTTGTTGTAGCCTTATGTATCTTCACTCTTATTTTCTGGTCTAATTTGACCGGACTAATACTTCTTCCTTAGCTTTTTCCTTTTTTGATCGCTGCATATTTCTGTTCTTTTCTGTCTGCTCATTTAGATATAATATTTTATTTCAGTTATTACTTTCGCAGATAATGCACTCGATCTGCGTGGCCGTACGTCATCTGCATGACTCCAACATTGCCCACCGCGACATAAAACCAGAGAATTTGCTTTACACAAGCATGGAGCCTAACGCAATCCTGAAATTGACAGACTTCGGCTTCGCTAAAGAGACGCTTTCGCAGGCGGATACATTGCAGACCCCGTGTTATACACCATATTACGTTGCACCAGAGGTATTTTTATAGTTCAATATTTAAAAGGGAAAACATTTTTTCCATTGGCATCATTCACAGTCTTATTGAATCTACAGTTTTTCTCGGATTTATAATTGACGCGAAGCTTCCATGGGCCTAAACAAACAAACTTAATTCTGCAGCATATAATATGCTTTAAAATCTTTCAAAAACCTCGCAAAGTGACGTTTTAACGTGTTATGAAAAAATTGTTTAATAATTTATGTGTACGCGTATTTTAACTAGCGCTTGATATATTCTTTTTGGTTAAAGAACTGTAGCCAATGCAACAATAAATGAAAAAAGAAATACTCCAGCATTATCGAATAGCCATTTGTCAGCAGGTGTTCATTAGTTAGCAGGGTGGTGCACCCTGCTAACTCGCAAGTGAGGTTTGTATATAGAGGAGATCAATTGAATCGAATCGAAGGTCATCCATAGTCTTACCATCCCCCTATACATAAAGATGATGTTATGATAAACCTAACACTAATTGGCTTTGGAATCTTTTATATACTGCTGTTAAATATATTGTGATCGCAACGTGTAAGGTTAAGCCATAAACACTTAGTACATAATACTCTAATTTTGTTACAGGTTCTGGGTCCAGACAAGTACGATAAGTCGTGTGATATCTGGTCCTTGGGTGTCGTGATGTATATTCTCCTGTGCGGTTTTCCACCCTTCTACTCTAATCACGGCCTCGCCATATCACCTGGGATGAAAAAGGTAAGGTTTTTTTCCAATTAATGTTAAGAATTATAAGCTTGAAATGCACACAAGTAGTCTTATGACTTACGTCCTAGGTACTATTTTTTTATTAACTGGCTTTACGGCTCTGGGTTCTAGCCCTTCTGAGCCTATCATTTATTTCGGAATCTTCCTTTTTATATTCTTTTTCTTCTGCTGCATGCTGCATGCTGATACGTCACATTGCGAAGTCCTTGGGAGATTTTGACGACAGCTCAACCCTGCGGACAGTTGATGACGACAGCCACTCAAGTTCATAAGGCGCCAAAGCGATTAAAATAACTTCAGGTTTATATTGACATCAAAGCACTTGTTTCGTCGTTTTCTCTAATAGTTCACACGCGCGGACACTTAATTCACAAAATCGCATCACTTTTACGAATCAAAATCCACTTCCAACCATTATTCAAGCGACAAAACAGGAGCGACAATCCGTCTACGGCCAAGTTCCCGCCAAAACTCCTCCTAGTTACCAATAACAGCCAAATGAAAGTATTGCGTTTCAGTGAACGAAAGTTGATGGGTGCATGTGGGTCAGGACCGTGGTTTAGAGCCACATTTATGGGAAGCTTATGTTCAGCAGTGTATTTGTGATAGACTGTAAAGATAATGATGATGACTAAGATGAATACAGTATACAGGAAATACCAGAGCTTTCGAATCCCAATCAATATGCAACATGCAACAACTTATTAAGCTTGCATAGCTTTTATCGCGGGCTTTGAGCGCGGCGACCGAATCAGGAAATTCCGTAACGGAAATAAACCTAAGACCCCAAAACCTAACGTCGTATCAGTTCGGCAGACTTCGGCACGGTGTTTGTGCGCGTGCGACTAGACGTATTAGGTAGACTAGTTGCATGTATTCTAAGATAATAAAAATATTTTAAACAATAATATAGTTTATTGCAAGAAGCATATTCTTTGGATTTATATGAGTCGTCGTCATGCTTCCAACATTCGTGAATTTAGAGTATTTAATAAACACAGACTTTATAGAAAATTATCGTTGTCGGAAGAACTCGTTGATTACCATAAACCTATAGTTTCAATGATAAAAATTCCTGAATAACCTACATGTATTGTAAGATAATAAACATATTTTAAACAATATTAACTTCTCATTTATTCAATAAAAGAAAAATTTGTTTTCTTATCGGTCACCTCGCTCAAAAAGTGTAACGTGAATTAATATCAAAGAAAAAAAATAATTCAAAAAAGAAAAAAATACTGCATAAATAAAATAAATAAATAATTATAATTGCATAAGTTGATAAAAATGCTATGCAATAGCTTACCGCGGCAGTCCCCGAGTGCCACACGTATTTTTTATTTTAAAGCTCTCTTTCTCTCTCGCATGTGATTTGTCCCCATACTGTAATAAAAATCTTTACCTATACAACCAGCAAAGAAAAATGGAGAAAGAAGGATTATTTCGAAAATATAAAATACATTTGTAAAATAAAAAATGTGAACATGCGATCAAACCCGAAACCGGGTGCGCGAAATTGACGAAAGGTATTGCGGGGCGAACGATCAAGTGAACTGTAATAGCGTGATGCAAAAGGAACTGAAACAAAAGAGCGGAAGTGGCACGTGGCGGCCTTTGGACTATATACTTGCAATGAAATTAATTTAATGCGTTGGCTGGCACGACGGAAGATGAGCTGCGGTAAGGGGGTTGCACTCCGGAATGCCGGCAGAAGTGAAAACTTGAATATTAACGTAGTGCATTTTTGATATTTGGAATGGTATTTAATGGTATTTTTGATATTAGGGAACAATTTTGCCCGAATTGCTTTAATTATCAGTATAAAAGTACTACCATTTATGTGGTAGAATATAATATTTATTTATTGCGCTATCGTACACAACTAAACGACACATCAGGTGCAGGCATACATTTTCGCCGCGCCGTGGAAAGAGAGGGGGCTACTTCCTCTCCTACACCGCGCCGGCTGTCTCTTTCTCTACATCCGTCTTACGCATTTTCGATCAGGGTCACCTGTTCTGACGCAAGCTTAACATTTTTTACCCGTTACAAAAAGTGTACAACGCCGCTAAAGAAGTTTTCACTTCAATGAAACAGCTTCTAAATAGGGATGGGCACTTACCTGGGAAGGCGGCGAGCGGGCTCTCTACGGCTTTGTGGACACGACGAAAATTGTATAGCACTGAAGCGCGCCCCCCATTAGGCAGGTCCTTGCGAGGAAGGAACGGAAGTGAGGGGAGGTTATGTCGGCCAACTCAATTAACAAAAATACATCAACAAATACGAAATGCAAAGATTGCGCAACTACCAGATGTAGCCTCAATAAAGGAATGAAAATCTGAGCCTTTAAATATCTATAGTACTGATGTCGTTACATAATCTTATTAAATAATTCAATTTGTGCTCTTTCCAGCGAATTCGACTAGGTCAATACGACTTCCCGGAGCCAGAGTGGTCGAACGTTTCCGCCGAAGCAAAGAATCTCATCCGTGGTATGCTGTCTGTCGACCCAGCGAAACGACTCACAATTCACCAAGTTAGTAACCATTATAAATTAGATTTTAAATGAATCACTCCATGTTAAAAAGGCAATAGTCCAGACATTGACTTAGAAAGAGGAAAAAACTTTGCCCTCAAAAAAAAGTCAAAGAAGCTATCCTTTTTTTATACTATGCTTTATATGTAAACTTTATCCTCATGATTTGGCATTTTTAATGCTTAAATTTAGAATAGTTTTTATGATATTTCTGTTTAAAGTTTGAGGACTGGATGCCCTTTTAGCATCTAATAAAGATATTTATTAAAATTATAGCAATTTTTAAGAATACCATTTATTTATTTAAACTATAATGTTATTATTTGACAATAAAACATAATAAAAGAAAATTTTTTGTTTGATCGTCCGTTAAATTATCGTCATTATCATGATTGCATTTTACAGTAGGAAGCCTCAAGATTTCCTGATAATACTTTTAGTATTCTTCAGACACAAAGGTCAAAACCTTTATCAGATCTACATGCTTTACACCTTTGAGGGCCACAAAACCCTGTTTACAATCTGGCCTAGAAGGAAACCAATCTATAATATGATTTCTGCGGCCTAAGTTTGAACCATAAAATCATCAATGATTCCTATGGCTTCAATATATCTTTTATCGTATCTGTATTCGTGGTGGTTACTTATCCCAAATATAATTTCCTGTCTTTGGGGGCCACCACTGTTTATAATAAACAATTTCTTCTGTTTTTACCTCTTTCACAAGGAATTTTCGTGATTGCCCGCTTTTTATTGATAATCCTGTAATTCTCTGTTATCTCATGGATGATATATTAACGATCATGGGCTTTTAACTTTTATACGTGGTAGAGCCATGCTGCAGTTATATTAATCGTATAGTTGTAGCACGAATGGGTCGGCTCGACTGGGGAAGGACCACGCTCTCACAGAATATCAGCGTGAAATAGTAGCTTTGTTTGGTATGGTGAGTGTAGAGAACCGGAGACCCTTTTTACTGGAAACGAGGCATTCCATCTTAGTTCTCACGGGTGACAACGCATCTGCACTTTGATTTGTAATCGAGGATAGATGTAGATGTCTATAGGCCGCAGCAACCACTTACCATCTGGTGGACTGTGTGCTCGTTTGTCACCATATCCTATAAAAAAAATCCTCTTTATTAAGTACGATTACTAAAGTCACGATTGCAGGGCGGGGAAGTATGCCCCTTTGTTGGGAAATAGTGCACTATTTTATTAAACTGACCCATGTCTTTTAATGCGAGCAGCACATGTGACAACGTGTGGTTTTTATTTTGTCCTCCGCATTTATCAGAATAGATGTGAATTTCATCAATATGGTACAGATAAATTTTGGCTTGGTTGGACTTAATATTGTGAATAATGAATGCACTCACCGAAAGTTGTCTCCAATTAAATATCTCTTAGATAGGTGTATTAGGTAGTTGCAAATTTTGCATAAAATCAAAGCAAATAGCTAAACACATTAGTATGTTGATTATTCTTTTAATCTTCCCTTTCTTGTTTGACTTTAGAATTCAATTTCTTGCTTTTCTTTTAATGAGCCTGTAACTGCCTGTGCACATCTTTTGGCTACTTCATTGAGATTCCTTGTAAAAAGGGCGACAGTCAGTGTACTGACGCCGTTTTTACATGGAATTTGAATTCGATTCCCAATTTTCTGTTCGTATTTAAATGGATTTGTGTTCCACCTCGAAAAGATGTATTGGAGTGTTTTCTAACAGATGCCGCCAGTAACTCATTTATTCAAAAATGGTGACTTATGCCTTTTTAACATGGAGCGATTCAAATATAAGTGGTGCAAGTAGTTGCATATTGCGCATTACATTCGCAGGTGATGGCGAGTCCGTGGGTGCGGCAGTACACGCAGGTGCCGCAGACGCCGCTGTACACGCACGCGCTGTTGCGCGACGCGGGCGACGCCTGGGCGGACGTGCAGGACGAAATGACCCGCTCGTTGGCCACCATGCGCGTCGACTACGACCAGGTACTTAGTGCTCTCTGCTCTCCTGGTACATGCTCAATTATTTCATCATCAGATGCCGTACGGTTTGTTTTGATTAGCGGACGTGCAGGACGAAATGAACCGCTCGTTGGCCACTATGCGCGTCGACTACGACCAGGTACCTTGTGCTCTCTGCTCTTCTGGTAAATGCGTAATTGAGTCATCATCATATGCCGTACGGTTTGTTTTCATTAGCGGACGTGCAGGACGAAATGACCCGCTCGTTGGCCACTATGCGCGTCGACTACGACCAGGTACCTTGTGCTCTCTGCTCTCCTGGTACATGCGCAATTCAGTCATCATCATATGCCGTACGGTTTGTTTTCATTAGCGGACGTGCAGGACGAAATGACCCGCTCATTGGCCACTATGCGCGTCGACTACGACCAGGTACTTTGTGTTCTCTGCTCTCCTGGTACATGCGCAATTCAGTCATCATCATATGCCGTACGGTTTGTTTTCATTAGCGGACGTGCAGGACGAAATGACCCGCTCGTTGGCCACTATGCGCGTCGACTACGACCAGGTACCTTGTGATCTCTGCTCTCCTGGTACGTGCTCAATTCATTCATCATCATATGCCGTACGGTTTGTTTTCATTATTAACATATCATCATATGTTGTTAATAATGAAAACAAACCGTACGACTACGAGGTATTGAGTTTTTTTTTTTTTGCATGTCTGCACTGTAAGCGCCGCATTGTAGAATTCGTTCTATGAAATCATATGAAACCTCGCACATCACAGCCACACCATACCATACCATACATTTATAAAATGCGGTAGATATCCGAACACTGAAGCACCCATGGCGATGATGTCATATAATGCGGCGCGTTCGGCGCGTGCTGATACTCAGTGTTGTCTAATGTTGCCAACTTAGTTGATTTTCCACTAAATCTGGTAGTTTCGAAACTGTAGTGTGTCTACAGTTTAAACGATGAGTGCAAAACGATATGTAAGGGAAAATTAATGTACGAAAAAAACCCAATGAAAGTCGTTCTAACACTGATTTTATTGTAAAAGGAATAATTGCTTACATAAATTATATGATTATTATAAAAATGACGTATAAACAGAAGTACGTAAGTTATACATGTGTGCGTAATTAACCAATAATATTGTTTCTTAGTGACCTAAATTAGTGAGTGATGCATGTTTTATTAATTAATGTGCGTTAACCCGTACAGAAATATATTTTTACTTCATTTCAGGAGCATTTTCCTTTACTGTGTAGGCAACATTGTGTCGTCATACAAGACTTTCTATAACTTTTCATTAATACGTAATTATAGTCAACCAAATCTAAGAAATACCTTTTGACGTTTCACATTATTCATTCCGCAATAACTTTGCACAAGCGTACTCACACGATTTAAAATAACCTTTAACGTAAAACCGAAGAATTATGAAGTTATCTATATTGCATTACAAAGTATATAGTTTTTATCACTAATTTAAATTTGAATCATTTAGAGAAAGCAAAATATTAAAAAAATAACCAGTATCAACTTTTTTACCTAACGTCGTTTCAATGATATGTCATTCTATGATATATGTTAGGCGAATAATCGGCACATATATTCAAATAATCGGTAAAAATATTCAAATAATTGAATCATTAATTTTTTTAATGTACTATTTGTTTAATTAAATTTTTATTTTTAAAATTCCTTAAATTACGTGAGTCATGAATAAAACAAGTTCATTTTTTTTTACTTTGTCAACGTAAATTTGTGTAGGCTAAATAACTCATATACAAGGCCGCGTTAAAAAAACCAATACGTAATTTCAATCTCCCGCCATTTTGGGAGCACACTGTGCGTAATTTTGTGATTTTGTTTGTCTTCTTATTTTGTGACTCGGCTTTAACTTTTTGGACTGTTCGTATCGATTTTTTTAAGAATCGAATATTATACGCTCCCATTTTTTGGTTGGCATGCTTGGTGCAATAAGTCTGGCAGCTGTTAAAATATATTTCTTAGATTTGGTTGACTATAATTATAAAAAATATGAAAAAAACATTTTTACATCGATTATCAACATGAATACTTAGCGAGAAAAATAATTTAAATACAATAAAAATTGTTAATTAAATTTAATTCAAAATCCCAATTACACCTGATTACTTAATTATCAAAATAAAAAATACTTACCTCAAAAATACATCAAGTCTTTCCTTTGGTTCAATTACTAGGCTGAACTAAAAGTATCGGGAATGGAATATTTCTACTGTTCCTGTCATATTAAAATGTTTTTAATTGAAAACTATTTGGTTTTGAAAATCGAGTACCATTTATTTATTTAAAAAAAGATTCCCGGTCTTGTCACAAGGTTTTGTCAAACTTGTTTAGTCGTTGAGAAAATGGAATTGACTCGAGAAAATTCAAGAGCGATGATTTATTATGACTTTCGAAGTGGTTTAGCACAAAAACAGTGTGTTGACCGGATGATTTTCGGATGAATGTTCGTTCACGGAGTGTTGCAAAAAAAAATGGTGGCCACGTTTGTCTCCAAAACCGGCCATGTTACGACTATTCCTCTTGAGGGACAAAGATCGGTTAATGCAGAGTGGTATGCTAGCATTTGTTTGCCGCAGGTCGTTTCTGACCTCCGTAAAGAGAACTGTAACCGCCGCATCATCCTCCATCACGACAATGCGAGTTCTCACACCGCACACAGAACAAAAGAGTTTTTAGAGCAAGAAAACATAGAATTATTAGGTCATCCGCCGTACAGCCCCGACCTAATCCCTAATGATTTTTATACTTTCCCTAAAATAAAGAATAAATTGCGTGGACAGATATTTTCATCACCTGAAGAAGCTGTGGACGCTTACAAAACGGCCATTTTGGAGACCCAACTTCCGAATGGAATGGTTGCTTCAATGATTGGTTCCATCGTATAAAAAAATGTGTCAAATTTCGCGGAGAATACTTCGAAAAGCAATAAATACATTTTTTAAATAGTAATGTTGTGTCACTTCCTTGATTCCCGAAATTTTCAGTGCCGCCCTCGTAGCCTTCTAAATCTTGAGTTTTCCATAGATATGGTTATGCAAAAAAAATCAAAAAAAATCGTCCATAATCATCGAATGGTGTGAAAAGGTACAGTGGACATTGATCGCTCGGATCGCTATGGAAAAAATTATTGTAATAGCCCGCTTATTGGCAGAGGAAGAATAAAACGGCAGTTGTATTCCCCATACAACTGCCGTTTTAAATTAATATAATTTTAAAAATAAATTATTACATTTTCTTTAAATAAATTATTATATTCCCCATACAACTGCCGTTTTAAAGTAATATTATGAATCCAGAATCTTATTTTCTTCGAATTTAATTTTCTTCTTTCTCTGCCAATAAGCAGGCTATTACAACAATTTTTTCTATAGCGATCCGAGCGATCAATGTCACTGTACCGTTTCACACCAGTGGTTAGAAAAAACGCGTTTTGAAGATTGGGGCGAACGACCTTAAGTCAACGTACTGAACTTAAGTGAACAACTGTACTAAGTAACTTAAGCTCTCCTGGTACATGGTAAACAAATTTACAAACAAACATTCAGTACCAAACCGTACGGAAATTTTAGTACTTATAGTTCATAAAAGATAGCTTGATCTCTGCGACAGCTGTCAGTAAAAATCACGCCTATGAAGTCCTGAATTTCTTAGTAGTACAGACAGATCAGACAGTAGGTACCTGTGAATGTCATACTTTATGGGCATGCCGACCTAATTAGTATCTTTTTCTACGTTTTGTTTTCTTTCAGACATTAATTATTTTAAAACTAGAAAACTTTTAAAGTGGCTAAAATTGCCCACCGTTATCCAGAAACGAATTTAACGAACATGAAAAATAAAGTAAAACATACCTCTGCAAACATAACCACCATCCTTTTTTTTATTGCTAATAAAATCTAAATCTGTCCAATTTTGGACGAGGAAACAAGGGAATATGAGACGATGATTTGGTCAGCTGTGAAAAGTAAATTCCCTAACGCCGCTACTACGTGGCTTTTATTGTTATTCACTAAGTCGCTAAGGTAATATATATATATATATATATATATATATATATATATATATATATATATATATATATATATATATATATATACATACATACATACATACAGGCTGTTAATGTAAATACCGTTATCCTTGAAACCAGTGGTTTGGTTTCACTTATATATATAGGATCTCCTAGGTGTGCGTTACTTGCAGTATACAGTGGCTGCAATTAACCGCCGGTACGACATACTCCGCCGAACGTCGAGTCCCGTGATTCCGTGAGGCGTCGAGGTCACCGGCCCCTAGGTGATTCTTGGCACTTTATGCGTTTCGTGCATTCTGTGCCTAGTCGCGTCATAAAGTGCCACCTTTGCACTTCCCCCAAACCTTTCGTTGTGAAAGGGGTAGGCAGTGCCCATAGTGTAGAAGTCTCTATATTATTATCACCACCATCCGCGTCGCGCATCAACCTGCTGCCGATCGGTTGGAAATAGATAGGGCCTTAGGTAGATTACCGCTGACTCTGACTGGTAGGTTAGGATGTCAGGGAATGATAAGGGGGAACCTCCTCCGAGAGCAAGAAAACCACCGGATCGACCAGGCGTTTTGGATAGACCCATCGCCTATAGGGACATTTTTAACCCGGAGAGGATGAGAGTTGTCTCATCCTACTCCCAAATACCCACCCGGAAACCTTCGTCGCCGGGTAAGGAGTCCGCACCTAGGGTTGCACTCTCGCCCATCGTACCTGAGTGTACGACTGGGCGTGAACCGCTGCCCTCTCAACCTCAGCGGGCCATGAAGACGCCACGAAGGCACACGCCTCCTGAGACCGAAGCCTCACTCTATGAGAAGAGGCAGCGTACAGGACAACTATCGGAATCATCATCAGCGTCTTCGGATGATGAAGAGCCCCAAGCGGAGACTAGGAAGAAGGTCCACACCTCACCTCCTAAGTCACCATCACC